GAGGCACCCCGCACTAGCGGGGCCCCCACGCCCCCGTTTGTAACTAGGGGTGCAACTTAAGTCGGACTGACGTAACCCAGGGACTGCCTGTATATAAAAATATACTGTACCTGCAACAGGAATCATTTTAACAGAAACAGGGATTTCCCACTGTTCCTTGTAGCTTGGTCCATGATTATTCAACAAAGTAAATAATGTCAGACTGTTTAAAACTACTTGAGGATAGTATCTTAAAGCAAGTTTTTCAGCATTTGGATCCAAACTAATGTCCTGAAACAAATAAAATAAATCATTAATGACATTTTAAACATTAACAAGCAAAACCAAATTAGTTATAATCAGTTTTTTAAAAAATATGTATTGAATAAATATATTTTAAAGGAAATGTTCAAATGAAACATTAATATTTAAGTTCAAAAATCAAAAAACTCTAAGATGCTAGAAGTGCACTTTGAATCCTAGACATATATCTTATAGCACACAAAAACATATAGTAGATTTCTATGCTCCTGTAATTCACAGAAGCAGTAAAGCAATAAACAGCTGCAGGACATACCAAAAAACAAAAACAAACAACAATCAAAACCCATACACATTTCTTTCCCCCAGATAAATTACAATTATGGGGGAAAAGCAAGAACCACTAGCTATTTCTTCCAAGGTTCTTGCTGGTGAACTGTATTTGGATCACAGCAACAGGACTACATTTGATGTACCAGGAGATATGTTAATGCTTTCATCCTGACTTCTCTTCTTGCATTTCAGAAATAAGCACCAACACTCCAAAATACAGAAGTAGTTGTATCAAAGGCAGCACTGTGGGGTGCCAGGTGGGAGATGGTCCATGAGGGGAGACAGTTTAAAAGCCAGCTCCCCTCACAGACTGGCTGCCTGTTGCCCTTGTATCAGAGGCAGCAATGTGGAGTGGCAGCAGCCCTTGTCTCGGGGGGAGGGTCTGAGCTCCCAGACCCAAAATGAGCTGGAACTGAGCTGGGCTGCAGGCCCATCTGGCTCCTAATACACTTTAAACGCAGAGCCGCAGCAGAAGTAGGTCCTGGACCCTGCACAAACTGGGAATGGGCCAGGCTGCTGGCCAGCCTGCTAAAATATATACTGGTGTCGGGAGAGGGGAGAGAAAATGTGCGTTATCTATAGCATTAACCTATAAGCTTTTGCTTATCAGTTAAATCACTGCACTATTGCATCCCTAGTGTCAACTGCTTATTACTATGTTTATGTAAGGATACTAACAGTAACTTAAGATATATTTTAAGGAAGTAATCTGGCATAACCTAATAAACTGTAATTCAATGTCTAAATTCACATTCTTTAACAGATAAAGACCAATGAGAAAAAAAAATCCTGGGTAAACTAATTTTTTTTATAATCCAACTTACTCTACAAATTACTGCAAACAACAGCTCTTTCTAAATTCATTGAAGGTTACAGATAGTCAATATGTCACATTCTAAGGGCCTCATCCAATGTCTACTGAAATGAATGGACCTTGTTGCAGTGAACATCAGCTATTGCTGTTAGTGCTATTTCAAACCTTTAAATGGCAGGATTACTTTTACAGAAATACTACAATGATCATGCACCTCTAAAGACGGATGTGAATAAAATGTCTACCTTTCATTAATACGTTGTAACAACAAATGTCACTCACATCATGGATAGCAGAAGCTCTCTGTTCCGGGGCTGCAACAGATGCTATAGTTTTATAATCCGTGGAGAGCTGTAGTTGCATCTGCATGGCAGGTGAACATACTTTAACAAATCTTGCCTTTCCCTTAAATAAAATCAAATGGTATCAAACATTTATTGTCATCAGTATTCACAATAAAATATTGTTTATATAAATACCCTCTAAAATTAAGTCGCTTATATTTTTAAAATATGGATATAGAATGGTTACATTGCAGTTTCCAAGCTGATTTAGTTATTACTGAAGCATTATGTCTTGCAAGTTGTAACCTATAGCAGAAATATGGAAGAATGATATAAATTGATAAAGAGTTACATATTGCAGCATTTCCTATAGTCCGTGGCCCGGTACCAGTCCATAGAAAAAAAAAATACTGGTCCTCAGCAAACAATCACCCGCTGGGCGGGAGGGAGCCCAGGTTAGCACTGCCGGGGTGTTCCGGGCTCACAGATTGCCCGTGCGGCACTGGGTCCCCCAGGCTCTGGGCCGGGCTGGGTGGAGGAAGTAGCTGAGGTTGCTGGGTGGTGGCGATCCCTGTGCATCTCCCTGACAGGGCTCGGAATAATGAGTAGGATCCCAGGCAGCGCTTACTTCTTTGGTAGGTGGGTGGGTGAGTTTTGCCCGGTCCTAGCACCCTGCCGCCCGCTGGCTCCTTCAGAGTGAAAGGGGCAGGGGCTGAGAGCTGCCAGCCTGTGCCTGGGGGCGGGCTTTCTACACAGGCAGCACAGCGCTTGGGAACTGCCGGGGGAGCGCAGGCCACTTGGCAAGGGCGGCAGCAGGCCCAGGGAAAGGGCTTTGTCTCCCCGATGCATGTGCATTTTCACGTGGCCGAGCCGGTCTCATTGGTTTTCCTGTCACGGGACACAGCAGTCTTGGTTTGTTTCTGCGCGGTGCGACAACGTGTACGTCTTCTTAGGTTAAATGCTTAAATTTTCTTTGTTTATTTTAAATTAAATACCCTCTCATTTTCATCTTCAATATTGAAAAATGGCTGAAGAATGTGATTGGAAATACAACTAACAAATGTTCAAATGACGTGCAGCCTAATAAAAGTGAGAAGATGATAAAAACGCTTTGGACCTGCAATTATTCTGACAACTATTTGAAATTTGGTTTTATAAGTGTTAGTAGTGATAATCACTTACCATTATGTATAATCTGTCATGCAGAACTATCCAATGAGTGCATGAAACCATCAAAACTGAAATGCTATTTGGAATGCAAACATCCAGTACACAAAAGTAAGCCCATAGATTTTTTCATAAATAAGAGAAATGAATTATCTTCTGCTTAAAAAAAGAAAAAAGCATGAAAAGTGCACTCTCTATGTGCTCTTCAAATGAAAACTTTGTGTTGGCTTCATGTGACGTTTCAAAACAAATAGTAGGTTGTTCACCTACTGTTGGCGAAAAGTTAATACTTCCTGCATTGCATATTATTTACATCCCATATTTATGGAGGGGAGAAAAGGAAATCGGTCGGGTTCGCTGTCTTTATACAACAATACAGTGAAACGTAGAATTGAAGATATGGTGAAAAATATTGAAGAAATTCTCGTACGTCGATTACAGAATAGTCAGTTTTTTGCATTACAAGTGGATGAAAGCACAGATATTGCTGACGCTGCCAATTTGATGTCTTTCGTTAGATATGATTACGAAAGCTCCATTCAAGAGGATCTCTTATTTTGTAAACCATTTCCAACAAGAACGGCTGCTGAAATTTTTAAGATAATAGACTAGGCTCGAGCAATGGCAGGGTCTCACACTGGGATTGTCCTGCGGATTTGAGCTGCAGCGCCAGACCGTGCATTGGTGCACTGTAGTATTCACAGAGAGGCACTAGCTGTGAAAACTATGCCATCACTTTTGAGTTCCACTCTTCAAGAATGTGTGAAGTTTATAAATGATATAAAATCTCATCCTTTGAATTTCAGAATCTTTACTGCTTTGTGCAACAAATTAGGAAATAAACATGAGCATCTCTTACTACACTGTGAGGTTCGATGGCTGCGGAAAGGAAACATTTTGAAATGACTCTTTGAAATAAAGGATGAAGTTTTATTGTTCTTGGAGCGACACCCTGCATTGGCAAAAGATGTTATATTTACATTTAAAGACAGGTTTCATGAATTTGATTGGTTAACAATGGTGGCTTACTTATGTGACATATTTTGTCTTTTAAATTACTTAAGTCTGAATTTACAAGGCACTAAAATTAATTTTTTCAAAGTTCACGAAAAAGTTGAGGCAACAATTAAAAACTTGGTTTACGGCCACAGTGAGTTAACAAGAAAACCTTTAAATCTTTTTGTACTTTACTGAACTACAAGAAAAATATGCTGAAACCAATAGCTCAGATGCGATTTCTGCAGCAATCCAAGAACATCTGTTGGGGCAAACATCAAGCTTAAATGAATATTTTCCTCCAACTGACACCAGTAAAATGTCGATTAAGAACCGGTTTACTGCTGACACCGAAAATGAAGAAATATTACAACTGAATGCATCAGAAGTGGATTCATTAATTGAACTTTCCTGTGAGACTGCCTTAAAAGAGAACTTTGATAAACTCTCCTTGATTGATTTTTGGTTGTGCTGTAGAAATGAATATTCACATTTATCTGAGAAAGCCAAATTCTTAATGCCTTTTGTCACAACATAGAAGTGTGAAACTAGTTCCTTGTCTTTGGTTTTCTTCAAAAATAAATATAAAAATAGTTTGAATGTCGAACCAGATTTGAGGATAAAACTTGCTTCTTTTGCTCCTGACAAAGTTATGTGATGCAAAACAACATCACCATTCCCATTTGTTCTCTTTTTAGTTATTTAAAAGCTATAAAATGCACACATAATACATTACTTATATTCAACTCATTAAATTACAAATGAACAAACATTACAATTGTTAAAATTCTACAGCTTAAATTGCAATTAGGGTAACAATAAGTTGGGCAGTATTTTATATCAAGATTTATATTATGTACTATTATTATTGTGAATAAATAACAAACAGTGAAAATTTATTCTTTCATTTTTTTATATGCGTTTATATTTTTGGGCTGCAAAAAACAGTAGTAAAAAACCAGGTTCTAACTAAAGTTAAAAGTTTGGGAAACCCTGGTCTAGCCAGCTTTCTATCCATCTTACAGTCCATTTATCCAATCCATATTCCCCTCACTCCTGCACTCTCAGCCCACTTCTGCATCCACCCATCCGCAACCTGCTTAAAAATAAATAACCCTTAAATAAATAAATACATACATACATACATACCCTTAAAAAGTTAAGCAGTTAAAAATCTAATTTTAATTGTTTAACCAGTTAACCAGGATCCTAATACCCCTCTGCAAACAGGGGGTTCCTCCAGCCTTCCATGGGCAGTAGGGCTCTTCTGACCTCTAAGGTCCTGCCTCACCATGGGCGATGGGGCTGTTCCAGCTGACTGTGGTCGAGCTGGCTGCTCCACGGGCCAGACTGCTGCAGGAGGGGGGCTGTGGCCCCTGCTGGTTAACCAGCTACTGGGTAAGCATGCTGATATGGCTAATGCCTTCTGGGTAACTGGGTAATCTGTCACATTCCAGCTCTCGTAGCTCCCATGCAGACCTCATAGCTCCCCTTTCTACCCCCAGTTCTGCACCCATTTTGTAATCATGGTGGTTGGCTGGCAGACAGGTTTGCGTTGAGTAGGGTGGGCCATGGGCCAAGAAGTTTGAGAACCACTGGTCTATAATGAAATTCATAGAAATCAGACTACTCATACTGTCAATGTCTCATGGTCTCTGTTTAAAATGTTTCTGTAGCTCTATCAGTTTTAGTCTTTGGGTGGTTGCTCCCTGCAGTTTCTTTCTAAGGCCGCATGACTAGGGGATAAGAAGGTCCTCAAGAGTCCTAGATCCTCATGATCTGACTTGAAGGAAATAACACTGCACTGTGAAGTACTGAGAAACACTTCATAAAGCTTTCCACTCCCATGAATCTCCTCGCTTTAAGAAATCAGAGTCAGACAGAAATGGTGTCAGACTGTAGAGATGAGTCTCTAAAATATATTCCTTTGCCTGTCTGTTTAGAATACCGAAACTAGTTCCAACTGTATGATGGTGATTGTTGTGAGGTGAACACAAATTTGCTAGTACTTGGACAGACCAACTTATTTCGTATAGATCAAACAGCCATTGTATGATCTGGCACATGGATGGACTCATACTGCTGACCGTGAGACGTGAAACTCCATATTCTAGTACTAAATCATTAAACTATACAGGACTCACAAATTATTTAGATTCCCAAAAGTCAGGTGCACAATTAAAGGCAGCAATGTGGAGTGGCAGCAGCCCTTGTCTCGGGGGGAGGGTCTGAGCTCCCAGACCCAAAATGAGCTGGAACTGAGCTGGGCTGCAGGCCCATCTGGCTCCTAATACACTTTAAACGCAGAGCCGCAGCAGAAGTAGGTCCTGGACCCTGCACAAACTGGGAATGGGCCAGGCTGCTGGCCAGCCTGCTAAAATATATACTGGTGTCGGGAGAGGGGAGAGAAAATGTGCGTTATCTATAGCATTAACCTATAAGCTTTTGCTTATCAGTTAAATCACTGCACTATTGCATCCCTAGTGTCAACTGCTTATTACTATGTTTATGTAAGGATACTAACAGTAACTTAAGATATATTTTAAGGAAGTAATCTGGCATAACCTAATAAACTGTAATTCAATGTCTAAATTCACATTCTTTAACAGATAAAGACCAATGAGAAAAAAAAATCCTGGGTAAACTAATTTTTTTTATAATCCAACTTACTCTACAAATTACTGCAAACAACAGCTCTTTCTAAATTCATTGAAGGTTACAGATAGTCAATATGTCACATTCTAAGGGCCTCATCCAATGTCTACTGAAATGAATGGACCTTGTTGCAGTGAACATCAGCTATTGCTGTTAGTGCTATTTCAAACCTTTAAATGGCAGGATTACTTTTACAGAAATACTACAATGATCATGCACCTCTAAAGACGGATGTGAATAAAATGTCTACCTTTCATTAATACGTTGTAACAACAAATGTCACTCACATCATGGATAGCAGAAGCTCTCTGTTCCGGGGCTGCAACAGATGCTATAGTTTTATAATCCGTGGAGAGCTGTAGTTGCATCTGCATGGCAGGTGAACATACTTTAACAAATCTTGCCTTTCCCTTAAATAAAATCAAATGGTATCAAACATTTATTGTCATCAGTATTCACAATAAAATATTGTTTATATAAATACCCTCTAAAATTAAGTCGCTTATATTTTTAAAATATGGATATAGAATGGTTACATTGCAGTTTCCAAGCTGATTTAGTTATTACTGAAGCATTATGTCTTGCAAGTTGTAACCTATAGCAGAAATATGGAAGAATGATATAAATTGATAAAGAGTTACATATTGCAGCATTTCCTATAGTCCGTGGCCCGGTACCGGTCCATAGAAAAAAAAAATACTGGTCCTCAGCAAACAATCACCCGCTGGGCGGGAGGGAGCCCAGGTTAGCACTGCCGGGGTGTTCCGGGCTCACAGATTGCCCGTGCGGCACTGGGTCCCCCAGGCTCTGGGCCGGGCTGGGTGGAGGAAGTAGCTGAGGTTGCTGGGTGGTGGCGATCCCTGTGCATCTCCCTGACAGGGCTCGGAATAATGAGTAGGATCCCAGGCAGCGCTTACTTCTTTGGTAGGTGGGTGGGTGAGTTTTGCCCGGTCCTAGCACCCTGCCGCCCGCTGGCTCCTTCAGAGTGAAAGGGGCAGGGGCTGAGAGCTGCCAGCCTGTGCCTGGGGGCGGGCTTTCTACACAGGCAGCACAGCGCTTGGGAACTGCCGGGGGAGCGCAGGCCACTTGGCAAGGGCGGCAGCAGGCCCAGGGAAAGGGCTTTGTCTCCCCGATGCATGTGCATTTTCACGTGGCCGAGCCGGTCTCATTGGTTTTCCTGTCACGGGACACAGCAGTCTTGGTTTGTTTCTGCGCGGTGCGACAACGTGTACGTCTTCTTAGGTTAAATGCTTAAATTTTCTTTGTTTATTTTAAATTAAATACCCTCTCATTTTCATCTTCAATATTGAAAAATGGCTGAAGAATGTGATTGGAAATACAACTAACAAATGTTCAAATGACGTGCAGCCTAATAAAAGTGAGAAGATGATAAAAACGCTTTGGACCTGCAATTATTCTGACAACTATTTGAAATTTGGTTTTATAAGTGTTAGTAGTGATAATCACTTACCATTATGTATAATCTGTCATGCAGAACTATCCAATGAGTGCATGAAACCATCAAAACTGAAATGCTATTTGGAATGCAAACATCCAGTACACAAAAGTAAGCCCATAGATTTTTTCATAAATAAGAGAAATGAATTATCTTCTGCTTAAAAAAAGAAAAAAGCATGAAAAGTGCACTCTCTATGTGCTCTTCAAATGAAAACTTTGTGTTGGCTTCATGTGACGTTTCAAAACAAATAGTAGGTTGTTCACCTACTGTTGGCGAAAAGTTAATACTTCCTGCATTGCATATTATTTACATCCCATATTTATGGAGGGGAGAAAAGGAAATCGGTCGGGTTCGCTGTCTTTATACAACAATACAGTGAAACGTAGAATTGAAGATATGGTGAAAAATATTGAAGAAATTCTCGTACGTCGATTACAGAATAGTCAGTTTTTTGCATTACAAGTGGATGAAAGCACAGATATTGCTGACGCTGCCAATTTGATGTCTTTCGTTAGATATGATTACGAAAGCTCCATTCAAGAGGATCTCTTATTTTGTAAACCATTTCCAACAAGAACGGCTGCTGAAATTTTTAAGATAATAGACTAGGCTCGAGCAATGGCAGGGTCTCACACTGGGATTGTCCTGCGGATTTGAGCTGCAGCGCCAGACCGTGCATTGGTGCACTGTAGTATTCACAGAGAGGCACTAGCTGTGAAAACTATGCCATCACTTTTGAGTTCCACTCTTCAAGAATGTGTGAAGTTTATAAATGATATAAAATCTCATCCTTTGAATTTCAGAATCTTTACTGCTTTGTGCAACAAATTAGGAAATAAACATGAGCATCTCTTACTACACTGTGAGGTTCGATGGCTGCGGAAAGGAAACATTTTGAAATGACTCTTTGAAATAAAGGATGAAGTTTTATTGTTCTTGGAGCGACACCCTGCATTGGCAAAAGATGTTATATTTACATTTAAAGACAGGTTTCATGAATTTGATTGGTTAACAATGGTGGCTTACTTATGTGACATATTTTGTCTTTTAAATTACTTAAGTCTGAATTTACAAGGCACTAAAATTAATTTTTTCAAAGTTCACGAAAAAGTTGAGGCAACAATTAAAAACTTGGTTTACGGCCACAGTGAGTTAACAAGAAAACCTTTAAATCTTTTTGTACTTTACTGAACTACAAGAAAAATATGCTGAAACCAATAGCTCAGATGCGATTTCTGCAGCAATCCAAGAACATCTGTTGGGGCAAACATCAAGCTTAAATGAATATTTTCCTCCAACTGACACCAGTAAAATGTCGATTAAGAACCGGTTTACTGCTGACACCGAAAATGAAGAAATATTACAACTGAATGCATCAGAAGTGGATTCATTAATTGAACTTTCCTGTGAGACTGCCTTAAAAGAGAACTTTGATAAACTCTCCTTGATTGATTTTTGGTTGTGCTGTAGAAATGAATATTCACATTTATCTGAGAAAGCCAAATTCTTAATGCCTTTTGTCACAACATAGAAGTGTGAAACTAGTTCCTTGTCTTTGGTTTTCTTCAAAAATAAATATAAAAATAGTTTGAATGTCGAACCAGATTTGAGGATAAAACTTGCTTCTTTTGCTCCTGACAAAGTTATGTGATGCAAAACAACATCACCATTCCCATTTGTTCTCTTTTTAGTTATTTAAAAGCTATAAAATGCACACATAATACATTACTTATATTCAACTCATTAAATTACAAATGAACAAACATTACAATTGTTAAAATTCTACAGCTTAAATTGCAATTAGGGTAACAATAAGTTGGGCAGTATTTTATATCAAGATTTATATTATGTACTATTATTATTGTGAATAAATAACAAACAGTGAAAATTTATTCTTTCATTTTTTTATATGCGTTTATATTTTTGGGCTGCAAAAAACAGTAGTAAAAAACCAGGTTCTAACTAAAGTTAAAAGTTTGGGAAACCCTGGTCTAGCCAGCTTTCTATCCATCTTACAGTCCATTTATCCAATCCATAGTCCCTTAGCTTCCTGGCAAGAATATTATGGGAGACCATATCAAAAGCTTTCCTAAAGTTGGCACTGGGGGCTTTGGGAGGACCAGAAACAATTTTTATAATCATCATTTGCTTAATGAATATGCAAATAAATGTTAACAGTACTCCAAAAGCTCATGAATGGATTTACTGGTCCCCAGAGTCAAAAAGTTTGGGAACCCGTGACATATTGCAATGCCTGATGAATTAAAGTTACCAGAAAATAATATACATATATTTTACCAATACAAGAAGATTTTTCTCCAGCTTCAAGGACAGTTCTGTATTAAATTTGCCTCCCATGATACTGGTGATGTCAAGGAGGCTGTAAAACTCAGGGTACTTCTTCACACGTGCAATGCTAGCACTTAAAAATTGCTAAAGAAAAAGAAAGAAGTTATGTAGCCTATGTATCAATACTGTACCAGTTTCACAAAAATTACAATGTTGCTGCAAAAGTTACATCTGCTTGTGTTTTCAGCTATGTATTTCACTCATTTCTGCAAATAGATTATGTTCAGAAAATTTCTTTGTTCTTCTTTAGAACTCAGTTTAACAGACTGTGACAAGAGGAAAAAGGAAAAACAGATTGGTGGGAGGCTGTTTGGTTTTTTTGTTTGTTATTTAAAGCACTGTTCCAGAAAATAGGTAGACATGTGCTCCAATAACATGATGGAGACAGGGTTATCATCCTCCAGCATTGCCCTGGAGTCTCAGGAATTAAAGATTAATATGTAATTAAAGATTATATTGTGTACAGAAACATAGAGGAATACATCCAGCCGAAACTGGCACCTCTAGATGGACGTGAGAGATAGGAACATAAGAGAGATGGAGGGATCATTTTGTGGTCAAGAGACAGGAATGGAATATCCAAGATACAGATTCTATACTTGGATCTGACATTAAGTCACTGTGTGATCCATGGCCACATTTTAAAAAACTGATCCTTAAAAATACCCACAAACTGTGGCCACACACACACATGGTCCACACCCACATTTAAATGGGTTACTCTTTTACTGTTATTTTTCCTCTGCATAAATTGCTGAGAGTTTATAATTTCACAAGTGGCTATACGTTCTTATGAACTTGTTTTGGGGCTCTGCAGAGGATAAGGCAGGAATAAAAAAAAAGCGCAGAGAAAGATTAAGGTGCTCCTATCTCACACATTTTTGCCAATTTTAAAAAGTCTTAAGGGATATTGGATTTATTTTTAAAATTCTTCTTCGAGAAGCCAGCTAAGTCATCTATGACTGTGGTAATTGAGAGCCATAAGTAACATTTGTTGTTCTGTTCTATGAAAAATTTACACAGATGGGGAAAAGTCTCAAACTTTTGAAGTTTTGGGTAGAATGCAAATAAACACTTGTACTGTGTCAGCTATGATTGTTACAGCTCCATAGACTTTTTATATGTATGATACAATAAGGCTATGTCTATACTGGTGCGATCTAGTGCCAGAAATATGCAAATGAGGCTAAGCGTGGAATATTGCCGAGCCTCATTTGCATATCTAATGAGCCACCATTTTGCAGAAGAGGCTCTTCCGCAAGAAGGAGTGTCTACACCGCCTCTTGTTCAAGAAGTGGCAGTGTAGACGCTCCTTGCGCAAGAGCCTCTTCTGCAAAAATGGCGGCTCATTAGATATGCAAATGAGGCTCGGCAATATTCCACGCGTAACCTCATTTGCATATTTCTGGCACTAGATTGCACCAGTAAAGCCATAGCCTTATTGTATCATACATATAAAAAGTCTATGGAGCTGTAACAATCATAGCTGACAAAGTACATGAAGATATTAGTACTCAAAAGATTTGTATTCAGATACTAATCTGTAAATATATGTTTAGGTCTGTCAAAAAAGAAGAAATTGTTGGGGCACTTTACACTGAAGTAGTTAAGTCCTTCTCTTAGCAAATAAGCAACATTCTTTGTAGGCTCATGGTCATGCTCAGCCTTCTTGTTGGACTCTGGAACATTGTTAATCATTCCTTTGCCATAGTATCTGTTTTATATAGGCTTCAGGTGAAGAATGCAAAGTTAAAGAGTAGGGGAATGTTCCCTGTGGAATCGCATTCCTATGAACCCTGGATGCTGAGACAAATTACACTAGTTTCATATTGTGTTCTCAGGGGCCTTAGTAATTCATTACTTGCACCTAAAAAAAAATATTCCATTATCTGTTCACAAATGCTGCTTCCAAGATAACTGGAGGCAAGTAATTTTGTTCAATATAAATCACAGACCAAAGGACAAGGAGGAATTTTTACATTTGAAGCCATGTTTTATGACTAGGATGTAGGGTTCTCTGTTTAAAAAAAAAAAGGACACAAACTGCCACAATACACAAGGTTTGTTTATAACAAATCAAGAGTAACCTCAGTGTTAAACAATCCATGTTTTTATTCCTTCATTTTCTGAAACAATAAAGCTATAATGTCAGGACCTCCCACTTCTGTACCCACTGCAAATTAGTGCAGGAATAAAGGCAGAAATTCCACTTTTGCCTCTCATTCTTATGATTTTATTTTTGTTATTCATTATTTTACAGTACGGAAGGAATATGTACTAATGTAATAGAAAAATACCTCAGCAGAGGTCTGCCCTCACCCTACTTTGCTAATGACATATAACTGCCTCATTTTCCTAGGATAGTCTTACCTGTTCCAGTATACTGGGTGACCTTTCCCAGCTTTGCGTAACATCACCACCAAATTATAGCTAGAACAGTGTGAAATAAAATGGCCCACTTTTTCAGAATTCAAGAAAATAGACTCAGTCCCTGGCCATCTGAGAATCATTCCATATAATGGATAATCCATGTAATTCACTGCATTATCCACTACATGACACTAAACCAGTAACATCTATTTTTTGAAAAAAAAATGCATTTTAAGGTGTAATTTCTGGCTTGCTATTGGGACTGAGTGGGAATTTGCTGCAATATTGTGTAAGAACACTGTCGTTCCTCATCACACCCCAGTTTTCCCTAGATGCTACATGCTTAAATAGGTGGCGTGGAAAAGCTTCTTACTCTTAGCAAAGACATAGACAAACAGGTATGACTGATTCCTAGCTGTCTGGGGCATGGGTTGCATGTCCATGGAGAGTTTAAAATAATGGGCATTTGAAACCTAGTAAGCTCATGAATGGCCCAATCCTCCAACGAAGCCAGCAGTATCTGACCAGGACAACAAAGGGCTGAAGAGGAGGGACTGGTGACAATATCTGCCCTAGAATAAGAGCAAAGAATGGAGGAGGCAGCCAGGTGGGGTTGTTAAGTGTGGGCTGCTTGAAGGAGTCCCTCCCTGACTTGGGACAAAAATGGAGTCAAAGAGTTTGACCAAGAGGGGGGTGGGAGGGATACCTGCGGCTGACCAAGACAAACTTTGCTGTAATTTTCTGTTCTCTATGTAACCATGAACTTTTTATGTTGTACTCCAGACCGCTAAGAAACCCTACAGCTTTTAAAATGCTAGATGAGAGTCAGTGCAAATGCTGAAGGTGCATTGCTCACTTTGGGTATGCACCACTCTCAGGTGTCCAATTCAGATGGACTTGCTGAAGGGAGCTCATGGTGTGAAGGAGTGCTGAGGACTGTGAGGTTCATTCCATGGAGGCAGTGGGGCCAAGGGGCTTGCCCTGGTGAAAGACTGTGACCCTTAAGGTGATCTGGCACACTGAAAGGGTTCTCCCAAGGATTGTTCGAAAGCACTAGACCTATGGATCCAAAATAGACACAAACAGTATTCTGTCACATGCTTTACTGATAGAAAACTACATTTCTTGATGTAGTCAATGACCTCAGTTTACTGAATTTATACTGCACGTCTGTTCATCCCTACCTAGTATGTTTTTATTCTTTTTCCAATATTTTCATTCAATGAACGAATGAATGAATACAATACTCAAACATTTCTGTTACCTCAGTATAAAGCAGTGCATCCTCAGAGATGATATCATAATCCTGAAAGCAACTTTTTGCGGCATTTTGTGCAAACTTTAAAAAGTCTGCTATTTCACGGTTCACAAATTCCTTCATTTGCTGAAATAAGAAAGGAGATATATGAGTCCCATTTTGAATACAACAGGAAAAAAACAAACCCCCCAGCCCTGTAGCTAAACTGTAATTGTAAATACGAATTATAATAAAAGATAGATTTACCACATCTCATTACATATCTGCGTATTTACAAAGTATCTAGTAGATTATGTAAATCACACAAAAAGTGACTTGTCTAAAAAGGCAGTGCCAGTATCTCAGTGCAGAACTGAAGAGAATATGGCCCAGCACTCACTAAATATTCTACATTGGCAGATTCTTGTACACCTCTACTGAAGTCAACACAAAAGGCATCTTACACAATTAGAGCCTATTACCTTAAAAAGAAAGTTCCCTTCCTGCAACACATACTAGTAATCTAATTAAGGAGAGTGAAACATGGGCACTGTCAGAGCAAGCTGACATGAGCCCGCCCCGTCTACATTAGCACTTACACTGCTGCTAACAATAGCACAGTAGCCCTGTTGCTGAAAAAGAGAAAAAAAAAAGAGGCACTAATTTTTCTGGTAAGTATATTCACGGACACAACATAAGAGAAAGGAACTGACAAAATGAAGGAACCACAGGACCATCACGGTTATAGAGGAATAGCCACAGCCAATGAATCCATTAATGCCACTTACAGGACTCAAATCTAATGATGCAGCCACCCAGTTTGAAGAGCAAATATAACATCTCACGTGCTATAGCAAGTATTGAGGGTCAACATGAAGGTCTTCCACGGTATTAAAAGAGTGAGTCTTTTATTATGGGATGCAGCCTAAGTTATAAGCAGCATACAAAAATCACAGAAACATAGGGTTAGAAGGCACCTAAGGGGTGAGGCCAAGTACACCTACACCACGGATGACAGACGTCTTTCTAACCTGAAAAACCTCCAACGAAGGGAATTCCACACCCTTCCTTAGAAAGCTATGGTAGTGCTTAACTATCTTTAAGGTTAGAATGTTTTTCTGGATCTAAAATCTAAAACTTCCTCACTACAGATTAAACCCATCATTTCTTGTCCCAGTGGATATGGAGAGAACAATTGATCACCATCCTTTTTATAACCACCATTAATGTATTTAAAGACTTATCAGATGGGGAGCTCCATCATGTCTCCCCACCCCCCATTTCCAGCATTGCTCTGTCCGAAGTCTGGTAGCTCCATCACACAAACAGATACACAAATACAAAACTTGTATCCAGGTATCTGCAAAAATGATCCATGGATAGAAAGTGGATATCTGCACATACGCATGATGCTAGATACAAAATGTGAATCTGCATCTGATCTGCAAAATGATACACGGATATCTGCATCCATGGATTCGAATATACAGTGGCTCTGCAAAGCTCTACAGACACATCATGCATTTTTTCCAGCTTTAGCAAGGAACTGATCTCACTGCAGGCTGCTTCCCACACAACTATTCTAGGCAGCTTTTTCTGAGGTGGGTTGTGATAGGGCTTCTAAACTAGTTTACCCATCATAGAAGGACATATTCATCATGGTGTAATCTAACTTCTAATACAGTTAAAACTTTATGAAATTCTACATGTGTGTACTGAATTTATTACTTATTTTATGGTCAATTCATCATTTTCACTCCTCCTATAACAACCATCAGAATTAAGGACAGGAAGCAGGAGGCATCAAGGAAACTATTCAACTATGTTTAGAGTAACGAGACATCAATTATCCTCAGTAAAAAATTCAAATTTCATCGCTGGAGAGAGAAAACATAGGAGAAACTGGAAATGTTTAAGGACTTATAATTATTATAAAGTTTTAGCAACAAATAACTTTTAGAAAATGCTCTTTGGATTATTAAAAGGAATATTAGGAGAAAAACAATTTTAATACTTACCAAGTACTGGGAATATTCTCTTTCATATTTTACACTAAATTGGTGGGGTACACATTTTTTTGAAAACTTAGTCATTAGATATAAATATGTCTTCTGCTCCTTCTCAGTCAGATTAGAGACATAAGGATATGGGATTCTGGGCTCTGGAAAAGGATTATCATAAGCCGTGGATCTAACTTCCTCCTCAGCTGAAGCTGCAGACTGTTTGTTAAATGTTTTCTCATCTTCTACAGCGTTAACTGATGCCTCTACATTTTCTTCTTTATGTCTGAAATAAAAGTGATAAATGAAACAACTTACAATTTACATTTTTCACATGGAGATTTGTATCTGAGAAAACTGAGGCTGGCAGTCACGGCAGACCTTACGTTTTCCAATTATCAGACAAAACACATAATTAATAGAACAATGCTGTTATTATACCATTCCACCATGTACATTTCATTATTCTGTGCTCTATTTAAACAGTCAAATCCTAGGAATGATGGGAGTTTCACACTGATTTCAAGAGAAGAAAAAATTGGTCATTATTTCTATTAGATCCACTCCACTTTTCCAGGAAACATGTATAACAACTTGTTTTTCCTAAAACAGACTAACACAGCTATCCCTCTGGAAAGTGTAACAATGAGGAATCTTGTGGCACATTAAAGACTAACAAATGTATTTGGGCATAAGCTTTTGTGGGCTGGCACCCACTTCATCAGCTGCATCTTGTTACACTAGGTATGGAAATGAGAGAGCCAATCACAAAACATAGGTACTCTTTATTCTGGAAATATCTTCACTATGAATGAGGCCTCGCTTCCTAGTCTGTTGTCTGCCATTTATGTACGTAACGTTGTTTTAGCCATGTTGGCCCCAGGTATTACAGACAAAAGGTGGATGAGGTAAAATTGTTTATTTGCCCAACTTCGGTTAGGCAGATACAAAATCTCTAGCTTAGGCCGTGTGTATACTACAGTTATGTTGAGTTAATTTACACTGGCACAACTACAGCAGTGTTAAATTAATTGTGTTTCTGCAAGCTTAATCCCTTGCATCAGCAGTGTAGGTGTCCTCATCACATTCATATCAATTGTATTGTCACTATGGGACAGGTCCTGAAGGCCAGTAACAGTTGATGTAAGCAACATGGCATCTACGCTGACACTGCATTCACCTAGCATCAACTATGACTCTACATTGCTCCAGGATGTGGTATTATGCTGACACAGAGAGGCACTTAAATTTGTGTCCCGCCAATGTAAGTGAAGATGCTTCCATAGTAGGTTGACACACGGCAGCTTTTGCCACCCTAACCATGTAGTGTAGACCAAGCCTTACACAGAGTTCTTCTTCAGGCCTGAAAAACACACTAGGGTGTGTCAACTATATATCAAAGCAGGGTTGGCCAACCCATGACTTGCAAGCTGCATGCATCTCTTCAAAGAAAAAATTGCAGCTTCCGCAGCCGTGGCTCTGAAAGGGGCAGTGTGTTTCTGTCTGCACAGGACAATGCTGCAGACTTCAAAATGGCCACCCTTAAAAGGCAATGCCTTCTCTGTTCTTAAAAGGGCTGTGGCTGGGCCCCCCATTTCTTCCCTCCTGCACTCCCTCCCCCCCCCAACAACTTTTTTCCCCTCGGCTCTTTGTGCTGTATCCACTACTATTTTGTCTCTTCGTAACGGATTGGCCACACCTGTATCAAAGGATCACTCAGAGTGAAGTGGTGCATCAATCCACCATAGTAATGGGAGGGAAAAATAAATCTGGGGAGGGATAGCAGATTAGTGGATTTTAAAGACTATAGTTATAAACAATATATCCAGTCTGTTATTCACACCATAATTTTTACTGTGTAGCAACATTATGTATTTAAGCTCCCAATCTTGCCTTTCAAGGTGTTGTGCAGACTTCCTTTGAGGATGGAACCTGACAGCTCAGATACAAAGTGAACACTTTGTGAAGTGTTCACCCACAGGTGAGATGGTTTTGTCTTTTATAATTTTTCTGTGAGAGTTCATTCCAGAGCATAGGGATTGTCTCGTTTTAGCCACATCATTGTTATTGGGACATTTAGTGCACTGAATGAGGTATATCACATATGATAGACCAACTCAGAATCCATGGATCTTGAAATGTGTGTTGTGAGGGGTGTTGGTCATCATAGTGATAAGATAAATCTTCAGTGGTGATACTCAGATTGAGGCATGGGAGTTGCAAGTGGCTCTTTAATGTGCCTCTTGTGGCTCTTTACAGCATATGATATTAAAACACTGATTTAATTATTTAACCAATCAGGATGATTTTCACTACATTACTAATCAGTTATAGAATAAATGGTCTCATTTTGCTGCGAGAATTTTTATATATTATAAATAGTAATTGAAACAATGAACTCACTCTACTGTGGCTTTTTTGGGTAATGCTGATCAGCAGTTTGGCTCCTGAGCTAGAAAAGTCTGAATATCATTTGTCTACAGCAGTGGTCTCCAACCTTTTTAAGCACAAGATCATTTTCTAAATTTAAGTGCAATCCAGACTGTAAGTTGAGCCTGGGGAAGGGAGCTGAGATGAAGGAGGAGGTTCAGGCTCTGGGAGGAAGTTCAGGTCTGGACTACAGCAGGAGTTTGGGGTGCAGGAGGGGTTCAGGATATGGCAGAGGTTTGGAATGCAGGTTCCAGTTGGGCACCGCTTACCACAGATGGCTTCTGGATGATGGTATAGTGGTGCTAAGGCAGGTTCACCCCACTCTGGCTCTGCACCACTTCTAAAAGCAGCTAGCAAACTCCCTTCAAACTCCCTGTCCCCCCTCTGCTCTATAGAGATGGGGTATGGGGGGGGGGAGAAGAGAAGGGCACCCAGATATCAGCACCACCTTCTCTTCTTCCCATGCTTTGCACAGCAAGCAGAAGGCTCCCAGGAGGTGGGAGGCAGCTCCAAGGCAAAGGGTAGGAGCAGCATGGCAGTGCTGAGAGAGGCAAATTAAATGCTGGCACTTAACCTTCCAGCCATACCTGTCAGGATCACCTGTCAAAGGCTTCAAGATCTACCTGTGGATCCCGATCTACTGGTTAGTGACCACTGGTCTACAAGTTTTGTGTCTGTTCTCCTGGTAAGGTCTGAGGCCATCTTTAAGTCCGTTACTTATAGTTGTTAAACTGTGTCAACAATTTGTATTCAGCAAGGCCTGACTCCTGAAGTGAAGTTGTGACAGTAAAAAAGAAGTACTTGACATTGAAGCATCTTTTAAAATGGAAGAAATATGGCTGTAACAACTGGGAAAAATCCAGATTTCAAAGATTCCCCCCCCCACACGCCAAGAACGGAGGACACCAAACAGTACTGGAATCAGTTGTTAAAACAAGATAACAATAGTGAAGAGCAGCATGGAGGAGGAAATGGACATAACAATAGGAAGCAAGATGTTCAATAAGCTTTTTTTTTTTAAAACAACTTCAGCATATAAAGGCTTACTTAGCCCTTATGTATTTACAATACCGATGTTTTAAAATGAGCATATTTTAGGTTAACAAAATGAACATTAACTGCTGATCTTGGAAAAACATATTTTAGAGATTGGATTTCAGCACTAGAAAAAAATGTCTCAAGAGCTATTCAGACCTAACAGTATCACATCCACAGCTCTTAATAATACTTCACAGCTGTCTCACTGAATATGAGAATATGTCCATCCTCATGGCACAAACTGGCAAATTTAATTAAGCTGCAGCAGAGACAAGATGCTGACTCAGATTTGCCAACGTAGGAATGTCAAGAAATTCTAGCAGTTTAAATTGGCTACATTCAGCACAGAATTAAATGGCAGCACATCAAGATTATTTTCCCGTGCAGTGCTGTCAAAATCTTCATCAGAGTGCATACCAAAATAATCCGACAGGGCCTTTCCATTCATATTTGCAGTTATACTTTATTTGAGCTGACGATTTAAAATTTTCCCCTTCATTTTATGCAATCCACTCTTCTCTCAGCTACAGCTTTCATGGGGAGAGAAGAGTAGCATTTCAGTTAAATATTATCAGGGGTCCTTAGTAAGGATGTTAAGAGGCAGGTAATCAGGTAATCGTGTAGTCGATACAATTTGTACAGACTACACGATTCATCGATAAGCGAAAGCACTCAGAAAGAGCAACCTCCCACTGAGGTTCTGCAGTTTAAATGTAGTAAGAGCTGGGCGAACCTTGCAGCAGTTCAACAGCCCCTATCTGTGAGGGATCCCAGGGAGGAGCTGGGGCCCCTCACGGATAGGGGCTGCTGCAGGAGTAGCCTCCCTGGACCCCCACCCCCACTGGTGCCTCTGATGTGTGTGTGTGGGGGGGAAAGAAATGGGGGGAAGCAGCATTGCGGAGATGGTGCTGGCAGGGAACCAGATTTTAAACTGGCTCCCCCAAGGACCAGGGCCTGCTCCTTCCGCTCGCTGCGTTTAATACAGAGGCATCAAGAGCGGGGGAAATGCCAGTAGTCGACTCCACTGTCTGATAAGCCTAGGCTTATCGGGTAGCTGACTACTCTTTTACATCCCTAGTCCTTATATAAAGACTCACAAATGCTAGGAATATCTGGAAAAGAAGAGCATAATTCCCATTTGTAATGAATTACCCAAGTCCAAACTCCCTTGATTACAATTCCTTAAATCTCATCACTGTCTCTTCTGATACCTTGGCACACAGCTGTCTCTTCTGATTCCCCCATACCATGGCGCCAAACTTACCTCTGTAGTCATTTTAATAAAATTAAAATTGGAATTTAGGCCAAAAAGATATTAGGGAATGATGTACCTCAAGACTACTAATCACATTCCAAGTGTATCGTCGGCCAATCCTAAATTTCATGCAGGTCTTGAAAAATTCAAGAGTTTTCCTACAGAATAGCTTAATCCACTGGTGAAACCAACAGCATCAGTCCAAGTCCTACTGGATAGAGACATTGCCCAAAGTAGTGACAGGGCAAGGACTACTGTACTCCCGAAAAGCCACTCCAGGGAAGGAAAGCTGAATTCAGGTCTTCACATCTCTCTCCAAATAAATAATTATAAAAATTGTTCCTGTGGGACGAGAGTGACATCATCACATCACTCTGCATCCACAGGAACAAGTCCCACCAATTCCCAGCCTGGCCCTTCCCAGGGCCCATGTGGAGGGCTGGGGCTGACTATGGCACAGCCTGGTCCCTCCCAGAGGCTTGGGGAAGAGCCAGGTGCCACCCCGCCCTGGCAACTGGTGGGAAAGATGGACAATCAGGGTGGGGGAGGGAGGGAAAGGGTT